GAGAGAGAGAGAGAGAGAGAGAGAGAGAGAGAGAGAGAGAGAGAGAGAGAGAGAGACGCAGAGACACAGACAGAGAGACAGAGAGACAGAGAGACAGATGCCTTTAGCTTGGCAAGGGCATGCAGCAGGATTAACAAGAGAAGGGGGGGCGAAGGGGAGGGGGAAGGGGAGGGGGAGGAGGGGGATTAGAGATGAGGGAGGATTAGAGAGGAGGGAGGATTGCACCTTCGATATCTGTAAAGCAGTCTGTCCGCCTGCGATGCCCTTAGCTTGGCAAGGCCGTCTGCATATTGCAGGAAGATGAACAATGAAGGCTTTGTCTTCCCCTTGGGAATTTCATACCGCATCCCAACAAACTGGCCGATACCGACACGTTTGTGCACAATAAACTCCCCAGGGACCAAGGTTCGTGGGTCAACAGAGTTGTCGACAGCACCGCCTTCTCCTTGCTTCCCGCCTTCTCCAAATTTGCTTCGGATAAGCTTCAGTCCGCGCTCCCTCTGTTCTTTCAGTCGCGCCTTGAAGTCCTGCACCTCTGCCTCCGACAACCCGAGGTCGCTCTCTTTCATCCCTCCCATCTTGTCGGGGTTCTTCTTCCGTCCTCCTCCTCCCCCTTTGTCCGGCAAATTCACCGTTCGTTGAGGGGGTCTAGACCCCCCCTCCAAAGCACCAGAACCCTTGCCAACAGGCTGTTCTCTGGCAGAACTTTGACGGTCCCAATCAGGCACCACAGTGACAGGTGTACCTGCGGTGTTGATCGGGATAGCACAGCTCCTCCTCCTCGCCTTCCTCATTGTCCTCGAGGGGACGGCATGGATCGGAAGATTCAGCGGAAGGTTCAATGGAAGAGTATCCGGAAGCTTGGAGGGAGGGAGGAGGGAGGAGTCGTCAGATTGCGATGACAGACTGACGGACGACAAGAAGCCGGGAAATGGCGCGAGAGGAGGAGATCCTCTTCTGAGCCTCAAGTGGACCTCGCGGTGAAGCCATCCGCACACCAACCGACTGCAACAGCAACCGCAGATCCCTCGCCCGATCTGCGGTTCAGATGGAAAGAAGATGGGCAGGTTCACAGAACCGACCTCTACCTCTCCTCGTGCCGCCATAGTCTTTCCCATAAACGAGCGTGCGTATCTCATGTCGCCTCCTCCTAGCATATCCCCTTCCTTCTTCTTCTTCTTCTTCTTCGTTTTCTTCTTCTCCTTCTGACCACCACCCATCTTGAGGAGGTGATTCTCCATTCTCCTCCCATCATATCCTGCATGAAGAATTCCTCTGATGGACACTGACAACTTCTGCTCCTGCCTGTCAGAATATACCACAGTCCGACCTGCTGCCATAGGGTTCTGCAAGATGGGCAATTTTCAAAACACACTCTCAGGAACAAAGAAGGAAAACGAAAAAAAAAAAAAAACAGAAAACACCGAAGGAA